TGCAAGAAAGTGATCACTTTCTTCATACTTTGTCTTGAGGTCGAAAAATTCTACACAATGAAAAGCAATTGCCATTATTCACTTTCTTTCCATAAGGCTACAAAACGAAGCAGATTTGTGAGCCAAAAAAATACATGCGAAGAATGCCCGAAAGTTTTTAACAAACACTACGTTGAAATGGTCAGGGTTATCCAGGCTATCAATAAGAGAAGGATGAACACTCACTTTGGACGTATTGATTACTGTCCTTAAAATTCTCCCAAGCAGCAACCCACTTTGAGTCTTTATGCAGAACCACACCAGAGGACTCCCTAAAATGGTTAAACTTATGAACACAATCAACTAAAGGAACAAATACTGCAACCAATACCAAAGGAAAATAATGATTACACGTCAGGCTCGATTATTCTCTCCGTTGAACCACCCGTTATTTCTGCTCTGGTTCTAGGTCTATCGGGGGGCCGATAAACAAGAGCACGGTCAGACTGCAATTCCTTTTCTAATGCTTCCAAAGTCTACCCAAATAAATGTAGTTCAAACTCTCAATACCTCCCTGGCCGACTTGACAAACTCGGTCCTGCCAATAGACCGCGACACATCTACAAGCTGTTCACCAGCTTTTGAGATGCCTTCCAAGCCCTTACGAACATACTCCTGTTTCTTCAAATTTTCTCCTTCAGCGCGGATTCTTTTAGCAGCAGATTCAAGATGATCCTTAACCTTTTCCATTGCATCCACATGAATTTCGCTTTCAATTTTCTTCTACTTAATCCAGAATAGGAGAAGAAAGAAAAATTACATAGAATTCCCGCATCGACTGAACTTCCTTAGACTTTTCGAGCTTTTCGGTCTCCTCACGGAACTTGCGAACACTTTCCTTAACCAATTTGCACAAAGGAATAGCAAACCCTCAACTGTTTGTCTCTATCAGATTCCTCCTTAATTTTTTTCATTAAATTTTGAATGAATCCACCGCTCCCAGTTGAATATTGAACATAACCCTGACAATAGCATGGAGAATCGCAAACTTTACCAACCGACGCACGGGACGCAGAAAGAAGCATCGTTTTACAAGGATCGACATCGTCACTACAAATATTAAAGGTGGCTTCAGAGGATGAAACTCATAACACGAAGAAGTAAAGTAGCGTACTTCAAAGTAAGCCAAGCCACTCGCATGAATCAATCAGCAAAGGAACTTTCAAAACAGGAGCCCAGAATGCGACGCAATCACGCACAGCCCTTAAAATTTGTTGCGATTAAGCAACGAACTGAACCAG